AAAAAAAAAAAAAATTTAAAAGCTAGAAACCTATGTCAGTACTTTCAATTTTTTTAATCTTTCTTAACTAGTCATACAGATCCACTACTCTACCAACAACTGACTTGGTCCAAGCATTCATGCACTTCAAGAAAGCCCTGTCCCTCTTTCTGCTCACTGTTCACCCTACATCTATGTACCTGGACCTATAATAATAGGAAACACTATCAATTCTGCTCTTTTTGTTATGACAGTGTCAACTGATAGAAAATTCTTCGCACCTGGCTGGCGTGACTCAGTGATTGAGCTGTGACCCATGAACCAGGAGATCATGGTTGGATTCCCAGTCAGGGCACATGCCCCGGTTGTGGGCTTGATCCCCAGTAGGAGGGTGCAGGAGGCAGCCGATCAATGACTCTCTCATCATTGATGTTTCTATCTCTCTCTCCCTCTCCCTTTCTCTCTAAAAAAAACAAAACAAAAACAAAACAAAAAGAAAAAAAAGAAAGAAAATTCTTTCTTATACTGAGCTGAAATCTCCTAGATTTGTCATAAGTAACCATACAGAACAAATTTAATCCCTCATGGACAAGGCAGCCTCCCTAAAACATTTTTTTTTCTCTCCTAATTAAACATCTTAGGTTCCTCCTGCCATGGCTTGGAGTGCCTTCATCACACTAGTAATCTTCTGGAAGGACTCCAGTCTGATTAAATCTCTTTAAAGGATGGTTTCCAATAGGAATCTAATATTCCAGGTGAAATCTTGTCAGTGATGGTTAGAACAGTCCCATTTCCTTGCTAGTCTGGGATTGTACACTTCTATAAATATCTTCTCCCTCTCTCCTCCCCTAATTTAAATAAGTGATGTTTGTCAGTTACTGAATCATTGGGAAACACGTGGCCCAGGCAAGTGGCTTATCTTAATTTGTATCTTGAAAACAAATGATCTTCCCGCTCACATGTGATAGGAAAGTCACAGAGGTCACTTACATGAACACATATGACTGATACGACCTGGTATTTAGCTCCTGACCCAGGTCTGCCACCAGTCCCTACATTTTCCCATGGTACTGATATTTGATGCTGGCCTGATCTGACAATTGGTCTTGTCATGCCCTTTGGTTTCCCTGGAAAGGGATCTTGTTGAATGCCAGGGGA